GAAGAAAAAAAAAATTCAACTGCGAAATGATAATCTGAAGACCCGTGCCTGCTGCTGTCGAGACTTGTTCTGCTGCTAAGACTGTAATCTTGAAGAAAAAGAAAAACCAAATGAATTCTGATATTGCTTAAATAAAGTAAATTTATTTATGGTTATATATACATAATGATAATATATCTCAAAGAATCCATTTGAAAGTTTTCACAAACCATAAACAAAAAATATAAAAATTCAAACCTGATTAGAGTAACGACAGATGTGCTTAATTCAGTTGAATGCCCGACAGAGTTTCTAATGAAGGTTGTACTATAGCTAGCCATCCACATATATATAATACTAAACAGAACAAGTGGGTTAGTACACAAGAATCTCTATATCTCTTGGTGCATTTCGGTGGTGGGGGTCTTGTTTTATTCAACCTAAACTAATCCTTTAGCTGTTCAAGTACCCCCATTAATTTTTTCTAAACAAACTTTGATTGATCATTAGATAACCGGCCCTGTAATCTTGCTAAGGCAACACTTCAGCGTGATGAAAGGTCACTATACAAATCAAGGGCGACTCTAGTTCATGCTTGAAAAAAAATAGGAGAATGATTATTTTGAAAATAACTTTTAGATTGAGAAACACTTGAATAGGGACTTCCTTATTCACGTGGTAGACTGAATGACATACTCTATTTAGTTAAAATAATTTAACATATTTTACAATTTTATTTATAATTTAGATTCCGTAACACATGTTTTGACTTAACAGGATATGCCACTTTGTCTACCCCATAACAAGGAAGTGGATCCAATTCTTTCTCCTCCTCATGCAATGCAAGTCAAATTGGACTTTTCTTTATGATAATAGTGTTTTGTGTATCAAGAAAAGAGAGATAATCTAAGAAAATAAAGAAGTAGCAATGGAGTATCTAATTATGGAGATTGGAGAAAGATCTTTGAAAAAATGCCAAATGATGTCCTAAGCTACTATCCTAATTAGGAGAGGGCCCCATAAAGGTTATGGCATAGAATTACAAACCGTCCAAATTGAAAGTTCATGCAGTCCACTATTTTGTTTATACAATTATAAGTAGCGGTTAAGATCCTTACAGGGTTTTATATAAATACCCACCTAGATGTGAATTTATTATCATGTGTTTGCTTCTACATCTCTCATTCCCTTTTCATTTCTCTTGCAATTTGAGCACTTCTTCAAATATACACCAACTTTTCTTATAAAACCATCTAGTATACATTAATCTCTTTTCCATTAGTTATGGAAGCTAAGTGTGCTTTTCTTCTTGCACTAATTGCATGCCTTGAAATTGTGTGCATTGAGGGCAGGCCATTTTGGCCGAAGAACAAAGAGTTGATCAGCACAATTGAAGCTAACCCTAAAAGGGAATTGGGAGAGAAAGGCAGCCAACCCACACCCCCTAATCACATTGCTAGTCCCATGGCACCTGATCATGATTCAATTTCAGGTACTCATGCCGCATACAAAGATGATTTTAGACCTACAACACCAGGAAACAGCCCTGGTGTTGGTCATAAATTCACAAACAAAAGAGAGCAACCAGCAAAAGCTAGGAATTTGGTTACTGCAGGAAGGCCCACAGCACCTGGTCACAGCCCTGGTGTTGGCCATGTTCTTCAAGTGCAAAATG